AGCCTTTTGCTATTTACATTTAGCGTTTTGTTACTTTTATCTACCATGTTACCTTTTTAGCCTTTTACTTTTTTTTTATCCTTTTGGCTTTTAGCCAGAATTCTGCTCATTTTAGCTAGCATTTTACTTTTTGCTTTCAAATGTTTTGTTTCTTTAGGTAGCGTTTAGCTACTTTAGCTTTAAATTTTGTTTTGCTATTCATTGCATTTAGCTAGCTTTTTTTTTTGTTTGTTTGTTCCAACTGTCAGTTTATATTTGACTTCTTTTAGTTTTTATCTAGTGCTTTGCTCCTTTAAGCTTTAGATAATGTTCTGGTTGTTTTAGCTTTTAGCTAATGTTCTATTCCTTTTAGCTCAGGTTCAGCTGCTTTTAGCAAATTTCAGCCAAATCATTCAACACTCAACTTTCTTACTGAAAATGCAATAACTAAAAGCTGTGCATAAGTTTGAAACAAGAGTCACGCTTCATCAAATTCTAAGAATTGCTTTAATCCTTAATTTAAAAACTATCGCGTCTGTTAGAAAGAACATATCTGTTCAAAGACAAAGACAGTTTGGCTGTTCCATGCAAAAATAAAAATCCACACTAACCAGTAAGGTCAGCTCCTAAAAAGCTTGTTCTCATCACAGTCAGGTTCATCTTGAACTGTGTGAGGCTTGTGGATTAAGGGATGAAAGAATACCACTGACTGTGAAATTGCCTGATTTTTATCGGGGATGTTGGGGAGCAGCTGTGCAACAATCCACTGCCCTAATCTGGAGGCTGTGGAGACGGGAACTGGGCGAGGAAATGTGCCTTACGTGCCCAAGAAAGTAGCGTTGTGAAGGGTTGTGGACTACTTATTCCTGATAAGTTATCCCAATGTTGTTTCAGTAGCGTGGAACAGGTCCAGCACATAAATGAGATGACATTTTTTTGCTTTTAACATCTCCGCTGATAAAAGGCCATCACTTAGTAGACGTACCAGAACGTTATTATTGATGCAATAACTGTTTTATCCCACCTGTCCACCTAACCAAGCCTCATGCTGGAAAACAGAGATAGAAGCAATCAAGTTAAGCTATTGGACATATTTAAAAGTGGGTGATATTTGCTCATGTCTGTTTCGTGTGGCTGTCTCTTAACAAAATATCTCATGGACAAGTGGACAGATTTTAATTAAACTTTTAGAAAATAACCATTAAATGTATGTATGCAACTGATCCGATTCATTTCAAGATGGCCACCACAGCCAACTAATTTTATGTGTTTCTGAGAGTTTCATTTAAATTCGTCCAGTGGTTCATGAGAAATTTTGGTAACATGTACACACACACACACATTATTGTCCATCTTTACCTTTCAGGAGCTGGAACTGGCACAGTAATATGTAATTGTTAATAATATTAGGAATACAATATTATATGATATGATATGGATAATATCGTCAAATATATTTTAAGTATTATATTAAAACATTAAATTATTATACATCTATTTAAAAAGTGTAAACATTTTGATTCATTATATTTAATTTCTATTTTAAATAAACAACTTTATATTAGAATCCTGCATCTTAAAATGTCTGTTGATTAACATTCTTTTTTTTTTTGTTGTTGTAAAAACCATATGAAACACACTATCAAATTAAACATAATGAACATACAGTACGTAGATCATCAATTTTGTGCTGTTCAGAAATATCGTACTGTAGATCTTTTAATTTGCGCTGTCTAGACATACCGTACGGTACATCTCCAACTTTCTGCTGTCCAGACATACCGTATGATAGAGCTTTATTTTTGTGCTGTCCAGAAATACCGTACGATAGATCTTCAATTTTGTAATGTCCAGACATACTGTACGGTAGATCTTCAATTTCATGCTGCCCAGAAATACCTTACAGTAGATAAATGTTGTGCTGCTCAGACATACCATATAGTAATCTTGAATTTCATGCTGCCCAGAAATACTGTACAGTAATCTTTAATTTATGCTACTTAAGACATACCGTACTGTAGATCTTCAATTTCATGCTGCCCAGAAATATTGTACTGTAGATCTTTTAATTTGCGCTGTCCAGAAATACCGTACAGTAGATCTCCAATTTTGCGCTGCTCAGACATACTGTACGGTAGATCTTAAATTTTGTGCTGTCAAACATACCGTATGATAGAGCTTTATTTTTGTGCTGTCCAGAAATACCG